TATACTCAAAAATAAATAAAATAATCATAATTGTGTTTCCTTCTGTTCTAAAGATTACTACAACAGTGTCAAACATTGAAAGTCCCTCCCAGAAAGCTGACCTATTTAACTAATGTGTCAGATCTACTGAAAAAAGAAGTGGCACAGGAAAGAGCTAATGAAGAAAGTCGGGCATCCCTGCAGGTACGATATCTGGAAAGGGCTCCTTCATAAGGGAGCTACAAAGGGGATTCCTTCCATCGTTATAGGGCTCCTTCATAAGAGGGCTGAGAAGCGGGTTCCCTCCATCATTATAGGGCTCCTTCATAAGAGGGCTGAGAAGCGGGTTCCCTCCATCATTATAGGGCTCCTTCATAAGAGGGCTGAGAAGTGGGTTCCCGCCATCGTTATGGGGCTCCTTCATAAGGGAGCTGAGAAGTGGGTTCCCTCCATTGTGATAGTAGTAAGTAGAGACTTTGGATCAGGTGGGTTTTGTTTGGAGATTAGTTTGCTTTTTTTTCTTTTTTCCTTAATGAAAGTAAAACTTCCACTTGGACTTAGGGCCTCTAAAGCTGAAGTAATGTTTCTGATATGTTTGGAGTGAAGTAGCAACCCTGTTTTTTTGTTTTGTTGGTTGATTTTGGACTATTTTAACTGAACTTGCAATAATTTAGTTACCAAATCAGGACATTGTCACTGAAGGCTGTGGAACTGCAAAACATGTTAGTTCCATGCTGTGTCTGGGGAAGGTTCTAGTCATTGTCAGGATTGTTACTATCATTGTAGCTCATGTGTATTGAGGACTCACAGTGACTGAAAAAGTCTAACCTCTATCTTACTAATTTGAGAAAAATGACATGCTGTTGTTTCTACCTGAGCCTTAGACAGGCTGCTGAAGCTGAAATGCTCACTTGTCTAAATCAGACTTATTTCAGTGAATCAGATTACATTTCCATGCATCAGAACCTTGCTATCTAAGGTATTGATGTCCAATAAGAATATAATGTAAGCCAAACCTGTAACCTTAAATCTCCTAATAGCCACATTAAAAAATGAAAAGGAGCCAGGCATGGTGACACACACCTTTAATCCCAGCACTCTGAGGCAGAGGCAGGTGGATCTCTGTGAGTTCGAGGCCACCCTGGTCTACATAGAGTTCCAGGACAGCTGGGGTTACAGGGAGACCCTGTCAAAAAAAAAAAAAAAAAAAAAAAAAAAAAAAGGATTAAAAAGAACAAATTGGACCACATCTTTGTCAACCACTTTGAAGCAGTTTGGACTCTCAGGTGCTTGGTGTTGACAGGCTCCTCGGCAACTGCAGCATGGTAGTAGTTGACACAAGATATAAATCCTGAAGATCTTCTTATAATTCAAACTCACAAATACTGCACTACAGTTTTTCCATGGTATGAAGAATAACGTTGAGCAATGAATTCGCAGATATAAATTAAAAGGGTATATTTATGGAATAGTGGCCCTACTTTACCCATAGGTATCATAATATCCATCCTAAGGTTACTACTTTTTCAGAGCATCTTTTCAGTATTGTACTACCTCTACTTAGTGACATTATTATAGTTTTTATGTAACTATTTTAGATCATGATAATGTGAATGTTAACATTTACTATGCCTATGAATTAGGAGTATTCAGAAGCACTGACCAGCACTGTGACTTCCCTGGAAAGTGTTTCTGATTTCCAGCTAACACTGTATGGATTGACAGAGGCATGAGTACGATCTGAGTTGTCCGTGGTGCTCTGTTACTCCATGAAGTACTGTACCATAGAGACATTCATAGAAGGAATTGAGGTACAGCATCAGTATGGTAACAGTATCCAAAGCAGATAACAAAGGCAATGGAGCAAAATAAATTTTAAGTCTTACAGCGATTTCTGACTTTCCAGTGGTGCTGAAAATTGAACCCAGGGCCTTGTCATGCAGAGGTAGCACTCCCTCAGAGCTGCATTTCCAAACTTTATATTATGTTGGAACAGGTCCTTGCCAAGTTGTCAGGACTGCCCATAAACTCGAGTCCGCCTCCACCTCCTGAGTGCTGGGTTATAGATATATACCACCACTCCTGATGTAGTGAACATTTTTATTCCATATTGTATGTAACTTCATTCCATGAGTGATGTTAAGTCTACTTGTACATTTGGGGTTTTGTTTCTTTGGGGTAGGTCTCAGTAGGTCGCATTAACTGAGCCTGTTGCTTAGCTAGAACCTGTCTCAAAATTCATTCATTCATTCATTCATTATTGGAATTAAATATTTCAAGATGAGCTCATCCTGGATTTCATGGATAGTTCCTAAATCCAATGACAAGTGTCCTTACTAGAAAATGGAGAGAGAAAGAAAAGAGAAGCCCATGTCAAGACAAAGGTAGAAACTGAGTGATGCTGACAGACATCAGACATTGGACAGAAAAGAAAGCAGTCTCCCCTATTAATTTTTTGTTTTTTGAGATGGTGTCTTATATAGCCAAGGCTGTCCTCAAGTTCTTGTTCCTCTGGCCTCTACTTCCCAAATGTTGTGCCCACATTTCCCCTGTAATCTTTAAAGCGAGCATAGCCCAGCTACCACCTTGATTTTGGACTTTTGCCCTTCAAAAGAATGGTGACAGAATGAACTGTTGTATGCCAGTCTTCTGGTAATCTGTTAGAGCAGCCACAGTAAACTGATAGATGTGGTTGGTTCACTTCATGATTGTTTTTAACCAGCATGTTATAAGCCCACAAGCTCGTTCATAGCAGTGCAGTGCTAAGAAACACGTTAAACTTCATCACAGAATGCAGATCGCGAGCTTCTTTTTTTTTCTTTGTTTTTAATTTTTTAAATTATTTCAATATGTATGAGTTTTGGCTGTATGTAAGCACACCCATACCTGCAATTCCCACGGAGGCCAGAAGAGGGCATCAGATTCCTAGAATTGGAGTTACAGGTGATTGTTAGCCACAATGTTGGTGCTGGGAACTGAACCCAGGTCCTCTGCCAGATGAGCCAGTGTTCTTAACCTCAGAGCTGTCTTTCTAACCCCTCAAATTATAGTCTTAAAAGCAAGCTACCCACTTTGTTCTACCCATAAATTCCAATAACAAAAGAATTGATTGAAAAAAATACTTAGAAGATACATATGATGGCTAATCCTGGGTGTCAGTTTGACTGGATCTGGGATTAACTGAAATGAGAGATCTTCTTGATTGGATCATCTGAAGCTGGAAGGCACACCCTAAATGTGGGTATTACCTTCTGATGGCAGCCGGTATAAAAGGCCATGGCAGAGGAGAAGGCCTGGCTTCTTGCTGCTTGCCTTTTCTCTCGCTGGTGAGTTCCTCTTGCTGCTCTAGACTGACGACTAGATGATCTTTTGGAATTCGTCAGACCTTCACACCAGATTGGGACTATTGAGACATCTTCGTTGACTGAGTGACTGCAGATTCTCAGCCTCTCCAGTGTGCTGCAGCCATTGTTGGACTACTTGGACTCTATCCTGTGAGCTAAGCTGACAAATATATATATATATATATTCATTCTACTGGTTCTGTTTCTGTGGAGAACCCTGACTAATACACCTGTTATAGGGTAGTTATATTTAAACACTTTTCATATTATATAGGAACATATCGAAAGAAGTTTTTATAGTAGGCTTCCATATGACTTTGTGCATTGTACCATCTACAAGACTGTAATTCACTCTATATTGTAGACTTGAATATAAAAACCACTAGTTGTAGAACCTCTAGAAACAAAACAGAACTCACAGCATATGGCAGGAGAATAAGAAAAATAATGATGCTGGCTGGTTACTTCTAGCATCTCTGGATAAAGTGATGAAGATAAACAATGAGCTTAATAATAAAATTGACATGCTCCAGATTCTAATCAACAGTTTAAAAGTTTCATAGTGTGCCCTGGAAGAGAATCTTCTCTCCAGCATCCAGAGAGCTAAAGCT